TACGGAAGATGCGGTTGGCGTTCTGGAACATGCCGTCCTTTAGACTCACAACAATGAATTGTGAGCCCTTGAAGCGCGTCTTGATGAGACGTCCAATATTTTGTGTGTGAGAAAGATCGAGAGCGGCGTCAACCTCGTCAAGGATGTACATTGGCGCAGGCTTGAATTGTAATAGAGCCATGATGAGTGAAAGTGCGACAAGTGACCTGTGCCTCCGTGTAAGCTATGCGTGCTATACGAGATTGAAAAAATAGAAATAAAAAGAAAGATGCTTACCTCTGGCCACCACTTAGTTCCGTCAGACTTTGCTTCCACACCTTGCCCAAGCAAACTTTCACTTCAAGACCATCACTGATCGTCTTACCCTCTGGAGGATCTAGCTTTGCGAAACTACCTCCAGGAAGAAGATCAGAGAAGATCTGGCCAAAATCGCCATTGACCTTCTCCCATGTCTCTTGTAGAGCCTTCTTTTTATACTCATCCAAACTGACAATGGTCTCCTCAATTTTCCTCTTGTCTCGAATGACAGTCTTTATCATTTGTTTGAGTGAGATTTCCTTCTTCTCAACACTGTCGATCATATTCATCACCTTGGGATTGATCTTCTTCTTCATTCCTTGGAATCTCTCTGTCAGATTCCGTAGTGTTGACTTGCACTCCGCTATATTATGCTGCTGGAAGTCGTAGGGCGTCCCGCCGCGGCCGAAATGGTCCTTCTCATCCTGAATCCATTCGTATTCGGCCTCGAGTCGAGCAACATTCTCTCCTGCAGATTGTTGCTCCTTGTGGAATTTCTCAATTTGGTGACCAAGCTTCTGCATCTCCAAGCCTTCTTCCGTAATACGAGCCTTCTTTGAGCGTGTGGCCTCCTCCAAGGCTCGAAGCTCATCGTCGAATTGATGTAGCTTGGCTCTTTCATCCTCAAGTTCGGCCTGCGCGGTGTCATGTGTCTCTGCTACTTTGGCCTGCTGTTTTGATAACTCTTCAATATCTTGCTGCTGAGCCTTGATGGCCACCTCTACCTCTTGAAGCTGCTCCCGTGCAGCAGATAAATCACCTCCCACTTGCTCCAAGTCCAGTTGAGCACCTTGTAGTTCTTTTTGCAAGGTCTTGACTGCGGCAGAATTCTTGTCGAGACTTCCCCTCAATTTATCCAGAGATTTTTGCAGTTCTACTAGTTTGGCATCCTTGTTATTGTCAAAATCTTTCATGTCTTTTTCAATGCGCTTGATATCCGCACTGGCCTCAGCCTGGCGGGTTCTGGCATCCGATATGCTCTCTTGCAGCTCAGCAATGGTGGCTTTCCAATTTTCAATTTCTTGAATGATTGACGAAGACGAGTTTCCGCCAATCTGATCCTCTGCCAGCTTGATCTCATGTTTCTTCAGGTCCAAACCTTGCTGGATCTGGCGGGCTTGATCTAGCTTGGATTTCTCCCTGGCAATCAAGATTTGGATGTCCTTTAATGATTTTTCAGCCTCATTCAGCTGTCGGGTAAGAGTGTTAAGCTTCTGTAAAGTCACCAAAACGCCACTGGAGTTTGGAGAGCTGCCGCCTGAAAGAGTTCCCGAAGGGTCATAGGAGTCTCCTTCGAGTGTAATACTTCGCATTCTCACATTAGGATGAAAGGTGACCCTTTTCGCTGTTTCGGCATCTGCGCAGATTAGCGTGTTGCCAAAAACGTATTCCATTGCAGAGGCCACCTCCTCATCGTAGCCAACCAGTGTGAGGGCGAGATCGACTTTTCCGGGCGCGAGATTCTGTGCAGTCGCGATGCTTTGAGCTGATGCTCTAAAAGCGGAGATTTTGTTAAGAGGAATAATTGTCACCCGCTTTCTCAGTCTGCCTTTTTGAAGCAGCTGCGTGCCTGTCACCTCCGAATCAACTACAACGTTGTATAGTCGTCCACCAGCACATATTTCTAAAGCTGTTCCAGCTCTTAGTTTATCTTGATCAATTGTGAACAATTGAGCAACGAGGCCTTTGACCTTTGATCTGTCAAAGTTGGGAACAGGGTCGGCATAGTTGAAATCAATGTTGGCAACTTTCCGTTTCAGGCTATCGCAGTCTTGCCGCAGACTTCGGACAGTTTGCTGCAGGCTAGACTCTTCCTTGTACATTGCCTCTTCCTGGCCAGGCTCAAGGCCGAGCTTATTCAGCTCTCTTTCCAGCTTCTGGCCCTGTAGCTTCAAACCATCTAGGTCGCGAAGGAGTTGTGCATTCTGCTCCTTGGCTTTTCGGGCTCGAGGTTCCTCCTCTCTGACTCGGCTTTGCAAGTGGGCAATCTTGATCTTTGCCTGCTCCTGAGTAGTTGCTGCAGTGGTAACGCGATTCTTTGCCTCTTGGAGTTGGCCCTGATATCCGTTTTCTTGCCCCTCCCTGGAAGCTACTCCTGTTTGTAGAGTTTGCAAAAGTTCTTCTTTAGACTCAACTTCCTTGACCTGCTTTGCCAAGCCATCCTTTGCTGCTTCGTATTTTGCTTTGACATTGTCGAACGTAGCTGTCTTATCTTGTAGAGAAGCCTCCAGTTCTGATACTGTTCTCATAACGGCTGCTTTTTTCTCTGTTTCCTCCCCCAAACTCGCCTTCTTTAGGTCCATGACCGTTGTAAGTCGAACTAACTCATTGGAGTATTTTTTGACCTTATCTTCGAGACCTTGTGCCTTACCACCCTTTTTGAGCTCCTTATCCCGCTGGGACCGTATTCTTTTGACATCTTCTTCTAGATGTGATATCTCATTACGGAGACGAACAGCAGAGTCTTCGAGGCTCTTATGTCGCAGCTTTTTAGCTTCAAGATCAGCCGCAGACTGCTTCAGCTTTTCTTGACATTTTGTGTAGTCGTATGCTACAACAACGCGAGAGAGCCGCTCTAGGTCATTCTGAGTTTGTTGGAAATCCAAGAACGCCCTCTTCTCTCCTCGAAGCTTCTCTAGCTTGGGCTCGATCTCGTCCCTTAGTAGCTCGCTTAGCTCTTGGAGCTTCGTTTCTTTCTTCGCCATTGTCTTCAAAGCTTTGTCTCGCCTGTCCTCAAACATTCTCGTACCCGCCGCCTCTTCAATCATGGCTAAAATTTCGACAGGCTTCATGTTGAGAACTTTGGTAATGCGGCCCTGCATGATAAGAAAATTTGGATTGTTGATATTCAGTTGGACAGATTGGAAGAGGTTCTGAACCGTCTGCTGCTGTGCACGGTGACCATTGATCAGATACTTGGACGTGCCGCCAAGTACGATCTGGCGAGTTACGCTGATCGTAGCATACTCTTCGAATCCTATGGGCGACTTCTTTTTATCTCTATTGTCGAAGACGATCGTAACGCTAGCTTTTGTGACACCCGCTTGACCTCTTTTATATATAAGATCCTTCGCAAGAGGTTAATATTGTATCGTTTATGCTGCAAATAATATGTAAAGGCGTACTTGGAGATTCTGCGCCCGCACCGTGGACATATTTGTGATTCCGAGAACGAAACATATTGAGTCGAGGATATTTGACTTCCCGCTACCGTTCAGGCCGGTAATAGAATTGAAGCTCTCGTCCCTGAACTCGTCAATATTGATGAAAGCTCCCACCGTGGGGTCGAATCTTACCATCCCGATATCACTGTTCGCACGGCATACGACTTGAAGCCCTATCAAAGAGGTTAGCAGAGACAGCTGCGAGAATTCAGGAGAGGATGCGACACTTACGTCGATAATCACTTCTATCACCCTCATTGTGGCAGATCCAGCGAACCCGCGACGCAGATATTGGATCGTAGAATCTTGTCCCTCTGCGCACGATCGTCTATCATAAAGGCCCACTCTGGCAAGGGACGCGACCCAAAGTAAACACAACCCCCCCGTGTTTGGTTTCTGATAAGCCCGTATCTCCACGTGATGGATGACGTTATCACGTGTGACTTCCTGGTTGTGCAGACGCGAGGAGACGCTGGAGAAGACGGCGGCGCTAGCCCAATTTGGAATCCATCAAAACATTGCGACCTTGGAATGGGTGAACAAATCCGGTTTATTTACTTTGTACTTTCACTGCTGTCATCAACAACGCCCTGCCGAACTTCACCAACACCGATTTTCACGTCGAACCCTGCAGTCACCGATGCTTTAACAACATTCAGGGACGACTTTCAGCAGCCGGCGCCACTGGAAACACAACACTGCAGCTGTTGTTCTCGGCGCGGCACCATGACTGCAATGCGAGGCCCGCGTCTCCAGGTCGGGTCTGCGGCCTGGGTCGGCGAAGAACGAGCATCTGCGCTGCAGATTGTGCAATCTGAAGTAGAGGAATTCTCTTACTCTGCTCACAATGAAATTGAGTGGCTTAATGAGCACATGGCCGCAATTTTGAACGAGAACGAAGTGTATGCCGCACCGTTCCCTATTCATCATCCGCCATTGTGATGGCCCATGCTGATACCCTTGTCTAGTAATATCACAGAAGCATTTAAAACTCCAGGAAAGCTTAGGGGCAAACCCCCCCATACGGCTCGAAAAGTTAATGCAGTAGAATCCCGAATGGTGGGTTTGCTTGAACGTCCTTTTTTTTGTGAACGTTATTCTCATGCACAGCGACTAGCCTCTCTCCGACGTCTTTGCAGCAGCATCGCCAAGCATCTCGAAAAATCAAAACTCGGCTCAAACCAGCCGGTTCCATCCTACCCCCCAACTGCATCAAGTCGCGTCGAAGACGGTACCGATAGCCAAACCTGCCTCCCCACAACGACATGTATTCTCTCCTCAACGACCTCCCCCTACCCGAGGAATGCAGGACTCTGGTTATTATGGGAGCCAGGATTTTGCTGCCACGGATCCGAGTGACGACGCCGAACCCGAGGAACTCGAAGAAGCTGAAGACATTGCAAGTCCCTATAGCGATATTGTATTGCCGCCCGGTGGATCTTCAATAAGACGAAAACCAGCTCGAAACCCGGTTTCAATATCACATACAAAGTCCTTTCAAACGACAAGAGAAAATCTCCCAACGCGTGCTCTGCCAAACGTACCATCCGATGCTACTCAAGACGAGCCAGAGTCATCCAAAGAGTCAGATGTGGACGATCCGTATTCCGGGGCACCTATAACATCCCCAGCTCCGTCTCCCAGAAAGCTACCCATGCCCCCTAAGCAGCCTGATGAACCATCGGAAGATGATCATTCTGCATCTGAAGGATCAAGCCCAATCAGGCCTGTTGTTCGAAAGAGTAGCTTAAACTTTGCTTCTTTACCAGCTAGAGAGCCACTTAACTCGGGCAAGAGTTTGGGGGCGAGACAGTCCCGGAACAGTCATTTCGATACTGGCAATAGTAGCAGAACTAGCTACTACCAAAGACAAACTGGCGGCAAAAGCCTCGGAAATCTTGCCAAGCGCGACCTGGTTGAAGAAGAGAATCCTAGTGGTATGGAGGTAGACGGAAAAAACTTTCCACCTGTCCACGATGCTTCTGAAACAGAAAAACCAGGCATGAATCATACAAAGACATATACGCAAAGATTACAGGATCAAATCAGCATGTTAAGTAAACCTCAAGGCAGCTTTGGACAAACTAAGCAGACACCGAATGCGTCGGTAGCGCAGCAAACCACTACACAGGTACAACCCGTTGCGAGCCCAAAGCAGACTTCTGCTGAGAAAGAGCCGATCTCCACGACGCCACGAGCTTCTCCCGAAGACGACGATGACGATTGGATTGGGCCGCCGACCGCGGTCAAGGACAATACGGACATACGGCCACTGTTGACCAAAAGCCATACAGCTGACATTATGGAAGGCATTCAAGACAAGGCAGATGACTACTCACCCCAAGCTAATGATCAAATACCACATGGCTTTTTCCATCACTCAAAGACATCATCTGTCTCCAATGCACCTACTGCTTCCGCTGCCCTCATGAGAGAAACCGTCCCTCTTGCAAAGGCGATTTCAACTTCCAGTTTAGTAGCATCGCAAGATGATATGGCTGACACTCCCTCCAAATCACTCCCGCGAAACTTCCGCGATAGTCCTCTAAAGCAGGTCAAGAATAAGCTTTCGTCTATTTTGAAAGGCTCTCGCGGCCTTCTTGCTAGCAATGCGGAAGGAAAATCCTTAACGTCGCCTTCTCTTACCCGCTTAGCCTTCCATGCTGGGCAATCTTCTGAATCGGTTGTCATGAAGCACCAGGATATTGAATATCAATCAACTGAACCTGCGAGCCCAGCAAAACCGATTGCGCGTCGTACAAGGGCTTCTACAGAACGTGAAAAGGAACAAAAACGCCGCGAGAACGAAGTTAAACGCATGGAAGAGCAGATGGATAAGCTTGACAAGGCACGCGAAAAGGAGCGTGAAAAGGCTCGAGCATTTACCCAGGAGCAAGAGAAGGTTGCTACCATGGAAAAGGAAATTGCTTCCAGGAAACAAGACGAGCGACTGGCGATCAAGGCAACTCCTAACTCGATAAAGAGAAACCAACCCAGCCCTCGCAAGATGAGAACGGATGAAGAACCAGAATGGAGGCAGGCCGATCGAGATACTGACATGTCTGACGCTCAACCTCCCATGCCCCCGCCGTCCTCTACCAAGCCTACTCTTCCCGGCCAAGCAGCACGTGGCAAGGATAATAAGCGGCCAGTGAAACCAACTAAAGATTTGACCGCAAAAGCCAAAGGGCCCCCTACTGTTATTAGGGTTAATACCGGCTCACAGCACTCACAATATGCCCCTGCTGGAAGCCGAGTATCTACCGCGTCTCACGATACCTTGAACTCTACTCATTCGACTGCGTCGTCGAAGACCAGCAAGTCATCTTACCAAGCCAAATCTGCGACACAAACCTTCAAAGCGCCTCCCTCTGCTAGCCGATCTAAAGCCGCGGAATTAGCCGCTAGAAAGAGAGAACAAGATGAGAAAGAATCTCAAAGACGACGCGATGCCAAGGCTGAAATGGAGAGAAAGAGAATTGCAGCACAAGAGGAACAACGAAAACAAGATCAACAGCGGCGCCTTGAAATGGAGCGACAAAGGCAACAGGAGGAAGAGAAAAAGTCTGTTCAACGTCAGGCTGCCATTGAAAAGGCCAAGCAGACAAGAGCGCCGCCTCCGGCGGTACGATCGCAGCCAAACGGTCCACCAGATGCAACTTTGGCTCAACAAAAACCGGTGTCCTCAAAAGCTGAGGGCCACCCTGCTCGGCCACCATCACGACTAGCCGGCATGCGTGATGAGTCTAGCAGGCCATTCAATTCCATCCTATCAAATGCCGCCAAGGCGGGCGCGAAACGGACTCTGGGGGCAGAGACGAGCGACAACAACTATTCAAGGCCCCCTCCCTCGCGAGGCGGACCGGCCTATCAGACTAAGGATTCTAAGAGACGCCGAACTAGCGAACACGATGATGATGAGCTGGGTGCGGAAAATCCCCCCAACATCAAAGGCCCGCCAGTGAGGCCGTCAACAGGATTTAAAAAGGTATGTATCCATTTCAACAAACTACTTCTACTATCCCCGGACCAAGGCTTACAATTATAGGATCTACCAACGAAGTCTGCCTTCCAAAATGGATACGGGGCTGCACCACATAGTGCCACTCGAGATCTATTCAAGGCCGCCGTCACAGCTCAACACAATAGTCACATGAAGGCCGCCCATCCTCTAGATATGGCGCAAATCTCAAAGGGACCGATCCCTTTTGCGCCTAGCTCGAACGCTGCTGGGTCTTCATTTAAAACTCCAGCTCGGCCTGGGCAGCTTGTGAATCCCAAGTCGAGCGTGAAGAGGTCTTCACCACGGCTTCAGACCGGCGATTCTATTGAGCTTCCAGAAATTCAGACGGATGACGAAGATGACGAAGACGAATCTCATGGAATGAATGTGGCTGCCTGGGCTGATTCTCCTGATTTGCGTCAGGCTCTCATGAGGCAAGAGACGATGGACCCATCTCAGATCTTTGGCCCGCCAGCACCCTTGATCATGGAAGAAGTTTTCAGCAAGAGCAAAGACAAGTGGCACAAATTCCGCCAAAGGACATCCAGTGCCAACTGGAGCGGTCTGGATCGTCTGACTGAGGACGATATTAGAAAGGACATGGTGGCTCGTAACAAGCTGCGGCGAGACGGAGGATGGTCTTATGAAATGAGCAAAGATATGCTATAGACCTGTTTTACGCTGTACATTATATTAATGAAGAGGAGATGGTTTCTTGCATGGTTTTGTGGGTTTTGCGGACTGTTAAGGACTTGGAACATGGAGTTGGGAATTAGTTATATAGCGAGGGGGGAACATTATATTGCATAATCCGAGCACGGATGACTATTCGGTAACGGCGGCTGGCGTCTAGGATGAGAATTATTTGTTGATAACAGAAGAAACTGTTAGACCGTCTATCTAGTATAAAAGTTGTTAAGAGAAAATCGTCGTGTTATATCAGTTGTCTTGAAATTGCCGGCGTGGTCTTTTTTAAATAGAGACGGTGAAAGGAAATCTAATCCACTAATTACTATTCAAATAGTTTGCCTCTAAACCTAGTAAGCAGCCTGAGCAGTGCCATGTCTACAACTCGCGAATTAGGCGGCCCTGTCTTGTACTCGAAGCTCTTATACTCGAAGCTCCACGTCCAATCTAATGACTGACATCATACTATGAAGTGAGAATAGAAGAAGGCTAGCACGATTGTAGACTAGTGGCTACAGTATGTCTCAAGTCTTATCGCTATCCTTTCCAAATTAGGAACAGCTGTTTTGGAGGGGTCGAACTTTTCTTGCCGCTAGTAGGTAGGATAAGAAAAAAAAATATCAGAGGAAATCTCATCGGCATTTGGAGGAAACACGCGACTTTCACGTATTCCTTTTTCATATTCATTTACCCAATAGGCACTTAATTGTGTCGTTGGTTTTTTTTTTTTACACTTGGATTTGCCTACCATCAATCGTTTATTCTTTTTTGATTAAAGAAAGATTTAACCATGTTTCGGTACGGCATCCGACGATGCGGAAGCTTGGCCCGCACTGCGGCTTCAAGTACGATGCTGCTGAGTGCGCGAACAGCCTTTCCAGCGGCGCGATCGGCAGCATCAACATTGCCCCGACCAGTTGCATCTTTGAAGAGCTTTGCCAGCCTTAACAGATTGTATAGCAGCGAGTCTGCGGCGGCGGAGACTGTGGCTCCTGAAACCACAGCCGGAGAAGTCACATCATTTCAAGATTTGGAGGCCATTGGGGTGCATCGCAATCTGCTGGATGCCATCACCAAGGACATGCGATACGATTCAATGACTCCGGTCCAAGCCAAAGCGATTAACCCGGCTCTCAAGGGAACTGATATGTAAGCCTGGAAAGTGTTGTTGTGTAAAAAGTATCTACGAACTGACCCGCCTCAAAGTGTTGCTCAAGCTAAAACTGGTACCGGAAAGACCATTGCCTTCTTGCTACCTCTCCTCCAGCGCATGATCGAAGAAGACCCCACACTGGCCTCACGAAAAGCGTCTCGAAATGCTAGGTCTGACGATATCCGCGGCATCGTGCTGTCCCCAACCCGTGAGCTTGCCGAACAGATTGCCACGGAAGCGAAGCGGCTGTGCAGCCGCACTGGCCTGGTCGTCCAGTCGGCTGTCGGAGGCACTCAAAAGTCTGCCATGCTGCGTCAGACACGGCGGCAAGGATGCCACCTTCTGGTGGCTACTCCAGGTCGTCTGAACGATCTCCTCGAGGACCCCAACAGTGGTATCGATGCTCCTAATCTGGCGGCGCTTGTGCTAGACGAGGCGGATCGGATGCTTGATGTTGGTTTCGAGAAGGAACTCAACTCAATTCAGAGCTACCTACCTAGGGACAAAGTAAGACAGACAATTCTGGTCTCTGCAACCATTCCCGACAACGTTATTCAGCTTGCACGCAAGCTTGTTCGTCCCGACGACTTCGAGTTCGTCCAGACTATTCCTGAGCATGAGACTCTTACCCACGACAGAATTCCTCAGCACGTCGTCACTGTCTCCAGCTGGGCCAACGTATTCCCTTCCCTGTATGAATTAATCGACCGCGAGGTTGCGGCTGCAAAGGCGGATCATACCTTGCCCCCTTTCAAGGCAATCGTCTACTTTAACACAACTTCCATGGTTGAGCTCGCTGGTGAGATTGGCTTTCAGCGCAGAAAGAGCGGCCAGCTGAGAATTCCTACCTTTGCCATCCAATCACAGCTTTCTCAGTTCCAGCGAACAAAGGCCGCCGATATGTTTAGAAACTCCAAGTCTGGAATTCTCTTCTCGTCGGATGTTACCGCCCGTGGCATGGATTTCCCCAATGTTACTCACGTCATTCAGGTTGATGCTCCCCGAGAGCGTGAATCTTATATCCACAGATTAGGCCGTACCGGACGACAGAATAAGAGCGGCGAGGGCTGGTTGTTTGTACCTCCTATGTCTGCCAACACTGCCAGGAAACTGCTGCGAGGTCTTCCATTGAAGCCCAACAAATCTCTTGAAAGCTCCGAAGTCGACATCAACTCAGTGGAGGAATTGCCCGCATATCACGAAGAGGTGAAGAGCCTCATCCAGGAAATCCCCCGAAAGACCATGGCCTCTGCGTATACTTCACTATTTGGCGGCCAACTCTCGGACAGAGAAGACCTTGTTGATGATTTGAACGACTGGGCTATCAAAGGCTGGGGTTGGTCGGAGCCCCCCGCCGTTTCTTCCAGCTGGGCCAGAAACCAAGGCTTGATGAAATCCGGATTGAATATTCAGGACGGCCACAGCGATCGGATGCATCGGGACGACAGGCGGGGAGGTGACCGACGAGGAGGTGACCGACGAGACGACCGCCGTGGCGGAAGCCGGTTCGATCGCCGTGGACCCCCTGACCCATTTGCTGAGATGGGAAGAAATGCCCGACGTGATGGGCCGCCACCGATGCGTTCCAGGGGTGGCCGACGAAGTGGAGGTTTTGAGTCATCCTGGTAAAGCGACGAGCTTGTTCCATAATGACATTTGAGAGGGGGGACGACTAAAGGCAGCGGTCTCATGAAAACAGCGGAACTCATTATTCTATCGTATTGATGCTTGGCGTCTATCCAATGGGGGAGAGATGTTATGCTATATTGGTTAAGGGGTGGCAAGCTTTTACGGCTACGTGTTCATGCTTAGAACTTATTGATCTTATGGTGTTACTGGGATTTGCGATGTAAAAGATACAGGGCGGGACGGGAACCAAAAAAAGGAACAATCTCCAATTTCAAGACAAAAGCATCATGGCGCATGTAATGATATATATATTGTGTATAGTAAATAGTCATGAGTTGTATTTCAGAAACATTAAATATATATGAGCTATCAAGATTGAGAACGAGCTATGGCGGGTTCAACTAGGGAAATGTGTTGTATGAGACTCGGCCAAAAAACCGGCCTTGACAATGTTTCTGTGCAGAATCCTAAACCACATTGGCTCCGTAACAAGACAATCTAATCGCAAGAATATCACGTCCTTTCCTCCATTTAGATATGCCCTCTTGGTATCAAAAAGTTGTATGCCTTTCTTTCATCTTCTATTTGCGTGGAAACATCACCATTTTCTCTGCTCACCGCGGATGCATTAACAGGTTGGCATCCCACAGCAGGACTCTCTCGTCCCAGCCAGCAGAAGCCACCCAGCCGCCAGCGCCAAACAGGCACCAGTCAACGCCCGTTACGAACTCAGTGTGCCTGTTCATGACGCCCATCTGCGCACCCGGCCGGGCAGTGGGAACTGGGCCCTGCGGCTGGCTAGAGGCATCGTTCCACAACCGCACAGTCATGTCGTAACTGGCGCTGATCAAGACGTCGCTTGCGTGAGGGCTCCATGTCAGTCTCCGCACGGCGTACTCGTGCCCGTGCATGAGAGAGAGCGGTCCGCCACTCGGATTGCGTATGTCGAATGTTCGGATCATACGGTCGACGCCGCCAGTCGCGATGACGGTGTCTCGGTATTTGTTCCAGTCGTGAGTGAGGATTTCGGCGGGAGGGCCGCCGGCTGGAATGGGGCCGCCGGGATGACTGGGAGCCGCGTGGACGGGGACAGTGGCGACGAGGTGGTACTTGGCGGATGAGGGGGTTCGGAGATCGAATAATCGGAGGTGGGAGTCGGAAGAAGCTGCTGAGATTAGGGAAGGGTTGGAGGGACAATAGGATGCGCTGTAGGTACAGCTTCCAATGGGCAGAGTCGTGATGGAGAATGGGCGAGTAGGCGACCACTGAGAGAAAGTATTAGACAAACGACGGAGAAAGAGACATTGGGGGAGTGTGTAAGTGTATATCAATCACGCACAATTTTGACCGTGCCATCCCATGAACTGGAAATGAAGTTGTCTTTAGTGACGGGATTCCAGGCGGTAGCAAAGGCCTCGCGTTTATGCTCGTGGAAGATCATGACTGGGAACTCCCTCAAGCCAATGTCGAAGAGCTTGAGCGATCCATCGCCGCAAGCAACCACGAGCTGGTTCTCGTTGATCTCCGACCAGGCCAAGTCGTATATCGCATCGTTTGTATCGAACCTGCATATTCGCCGCCATCAGTCTCGGCAAAGTTCCCTTTGCTGTTCTTCACAGCAGCTTGTATAAACGCACGTCTTCTCAACTTGGATGCCTTGCGCCGTCAGCGCAAGCGCGAAGAGCCGGCCGTTTCCAACGATGCCGAAGTTGGCGGCTGTACCGACGGCAATGCGAGAGTCGTGATATGGAGAGTATTTGACCGCGTAGGGATTGTACCCTTGGGTGCGGAACTCGAGCATCGCGGCCATTGTTTATAATTCGGTCTTGCCTGGCTGGAGAGGAAGGAGATGAGGAGAGAGGAGAGCGCCTAAAAGGCGCATTCGAGCTCGAAGGAAAGCGCAAACAAAGAATGCAATGCAAACAAAGTTATAAGACAGAAAAAGGAATAATAGAAGGATTGAATGTACGGCCTCAGCCCTTTGTCATGAGCTCTTGTTTGGCTTGGATTTGCATGCTGAGCTGGGCTGCAACCAAAGATCCGCTTAATCTGACATGTGCCTCGGTCCTGAGATCTGCCGCCGCAACCGTTTACCGTTACCCCATATTTTACACTATGAGCAGCCGTATTATGTAAGGTGGAGCTAAGTTGGATGTCTCAGTTTCTATAAATTACCTGCTAGAAACCAAACTGATGTCTAGCATTGCTGAGGAAAAGAAAAAAGAAGGGTCTATGAATCTCATCCAAAGAAAGTGTATGGATCAAAGATTTGAATAATCATATACCTTGCTAGATCGACGTGGGGTGATCTCGTAGACACCATCATGTCATAGGGCATTCAGGAATAATCAAGATAGTATGTATGAAGTAATCATTTTGCCATATTGGGAAATAAATGGTCACGTGATTCTGTGTTGCTCCGGATGTCACGCCTCGCGCCTACCGTGAATCAATCGTGGACTGATCATGCCTAGCGTTTGCCTTTTTTATTTCTTTCATTCATCTTCGTTGGAATTTCATTGGAATCTGCGTGGTCCTTTTGTTTGGAAGCGTCTTGGAGAATTATTTTGTAAATTTGTCTACGTGCCCAGCTCACGCTGTACAGCAGCTCTCATGGACTCTTTTCTTAGACGTCCAAAGCGAAAATCGATCCATGTTGATGCTACCGCAAAATCGGAACCAGCACTGGAAGACGTCGAGGAGTCGACAGAGATTAAACTTGCCATGCTATCCTCTCTACATCCCCTTGTTGAACAGGAAAGGCTTTTGGATGTCCTCTTAGCCCACGATGGCTCCGTTAGTCAGGCGTCGGCATCTCTCAAATCTTTTCGTCCCGGGATGAAGAAGAATGGTACTATAGGATTCCAGCAGTCTCTAAGACAGTACGCAAAACCTAGCCAAGATGCACCTCAGTCGTCACCTAAGAAGAAGACAAAAAAAGGTAGCACGCTACATCTGTACGATCCAAAGGATGTTGCAGAGAACACACCATGCACCATTATCCACAATTTCCTCCCAGCTGAATTAGCAGATGATCTCTTATACGAGTTATTGAACGAGGCGAAAACGTTTGCGCCAATCACATTCAAACTGTTTGAGAATGTCGTGACTAGCCCACACACATCGTGCCTATTTCTCGAATCCTATGAGAAAATCCAAGAGCAAAAACACGACTATTATTACAATGGGGGCATGCTTGATGTGAGCCATTTCTCCCCCTGTATCTCTTCATATCACAAAAGGCACTTGACTAATCTCCCAACAGGATGTGCGCCAGCTCACGCCAACACTTGCTAAAGTGAAGCCGATTGTCCAAGAGACTGTCAACGAACAAATTGAATCCCGCATAAAGACTTGTTACCCTGGAGGCAAAAAATTGAAACACCAACCATCCAAACCATGGGCGCCGAATGCTGCGTTCGTCAACTGCTACGACGGCGCACAGCAGAGCGTAGGGTGGCACAGTGACCATCTTACATACCTAGGTCCTCGTGCTGTCATCGGATCCATCTCCCTAGGTGTAGCACGGGAATTTCGTGTCCGTAAGATTTTACCTCGAGATGCAGAAACAAAGCGTCCAGACGATGCAGATGGCGAGGGTCAAATATCAATACACCTACCACATAACTCCCTCCTTGTGATGCACGCAGAGATGCAAGAAGACTGGAAGCATTCCATCTCACCTGCCCTGTCCATTGATCCACATCCAATCGCTGGGAACAAACGCATTAATATCACGTATCGAGATTATCGGGCAGAGATGCATCCGTCACTCACCCCGAGATGCCGCTGCAATGTCCCTTGCGTGCTCCGAGTGGTACAGCGAAAGAAAGACAACCACGGAAAATACTTTTGGATGTGCTATGCAAACGCTATTCCTGACAAAGAGGGGTGTACGTTCTTTGAATGGGCTGAATTTGATGACGAAGGAGTCCCTATTCGCAAAAAAGGAACGGCGAAGCCGCCTTAACACAGTCATTCCATCCCTTAAAAAATAATAATCGGCCAAATACTCGTACCACGTCCCAAGCCTTTTCGAAGTTATTGAATTTTCAGATGCAGTGCATTATTGTGTATTCAGAAATCCTCTCCAGGCAGACGGTGTCCCGACTGATGTTTCGGATGGTGATCATCAAGCATCTTCGCAATGAAAGACTCGGCTAGGGTCTTTTTTGATTCTACGAATCTATACGTACAAGAACAGAACATGGGGCGGCAAAGGTTGCCACTATCAGAATGATTATAACGTAGAGTCGAGCGTGAGAGTGTGGCCCCACTCCGCCCAACACATAATAACCAGCGCTGATATTTTGCATTGTTAGCTCAGCATTTGCAACCTGCCTCTATCATTCACTTCCCAAGCCACGAATCTACGCTCATAGCGTCTTGGAAAGCCTATTCTGTCACGATCCTCATATTTCATATCTAACTATATTGGGGGATTTAATTCAGCATCTTCCCCGATTTCAAGCTTTCTTGCACATCACATCATGTCTGAGGAACTCACCTTCCCCGCCGAGTCGGCAGCTCTTCTCGAGCCTCGTCTACCACCAAAGTCGGATGCCGAGGAGGCATTGAGATCGCGCCCCTTTGTTACCTTGACATTCGCAACTTCACTTGATTCCAGTCTCTCTCTATCGCCTGGAGTCCGCACCCGACTTTCTGGTCCAGGCTCAAAAGCTATGACCCATTATCTACGGACTCGACATTCAGCTATTTTGGTTGGTGTATCTACTGTGTTAGCAGATGATCCGGCTCTCAACTGCCGCATTGCAGGGACAGCTTCCCAACCCCGGCCGATCGTCATCGATGCCAATCTCCGCTGGACCCCGCGCCGTTCTGACAAGGTCTTTGAAGTGTGCCGAAATAGTGTTGGACTTGCACCCTTCATATTGACTGGTGTAGATGAATCAAGCTTGCCTCGAGAGAGTATTGAGTTGCTCCATGAGCACGGGGGTAAATATATCCGTATCCCCGCTACCCGCTCCGAATCAACTAGTCGGTTGCGATTCGACTGGAATGACATTCTCGCTGCCCTCCAAGCTGAAGGCTTGTCCAGCGTCATGGTTGAAGGCGGTGGCCAGATCATCAACTCGCTGCTTGACCCTGCCTACCAGGACCTGATTGACTCTGTCATTGTGACGATTGCACCGACATGGCTGGGACAAGGCGGCGTGGTGGTATCTCCAGACAGAGTTACTGACACGACAGGAGTCCCTCTGCCAGTCGCGAGGTTATCCCATGTATCGTGGCACCCATTTGGCGAAGATGTTGTCCTGTGCGGCACGCTCCGGGAGTAGGAATACAGACCGAATTCACCACATCATCATTTACACACTTTNTTTTTTTTTTTTTTTTTTTTTTTTTTTTTTTTTTTTTGCGTCATTTCGTTGCTCGTCATATACCAAAAGAATTCTTTCCGCTTTGCATTTTACAGTTCTTTTTCTACTATTTATGATCTATGCCTTATGGCTACTTCATATCAATGCCCGGAATGAATGAGCACCATCGAAATGGCGACAACCAAACTTCACACCGCCAGCTAAAGTCGAATGCTCGGCTCTCTCCGGCCAGTCTCCTTCCCATACAGCTCCGCATTCGGATCCGGCCGTCGAAAAAAAAAAAAATATTAGCTTGTGAGCGCCTAAGGTATACGATTTGGGCTTCTTAGGCTTACTTACAGTGGACACTCGAACTTGGACGCCAAGGAACCAGCTAGGTGAGAATAGGTTATCTAACCGCTCCCATAGAATTGGATAAGCCTTAGCAGATGAAAACCAGGGTGCCGCAGAGAGCTGCATGACTCGGCCGCTGCCGAAAACAGTTCTGGAAACTGGGGCCATCGAGGTGTGGAGGGGCAGCTTTTTGCAGGCGTCTTACCCCACCAACTGTCATCTGAAATACCAGCTATTTCGCAGTGCTTTCAAACAAAAGAGGGCCATATCGCGGGGATCCCTTCATCTCCCCCATTCGTGCGACATTCTATGTTCATACAACCATTGCAAGGCAGCTTCTCGTCGTTTTACGCTCAATGCTTTCTGGAGCTCATCAGGATTACTATTAACCGTTAAACTTTACTGGGATTGTCACATTGCCAACAGCGACATCCACGACGCCGACCGCAGAACCGCATCGCATTGCATCACATCACCCTCCAGCAGCCATGACTCGCCCTAGAATCACCGTTCTCGGTTCTCTGAACATTGACCTCGTCTCCTATGTCCCCCATCATCCTCTTCCCGGCGAGACCCTTACTGCCAACCATTTCAACACCTCTCCTGGTGGCAAAGGCGCCAACCAAGCCGTCGCCTGCGGCAAGCTTTCTCGCTCTTCAGATCTCTCTTCCTCTGCCGCCGATGTCTCCATGATTGGCGCTGTCGGCTCCGACACATATGGCCAGCAGCTCATCTCCAGCCTGACCTCCTACGGCGTCGACACCTCCGCCGTCGCTATCCGGGAAGATGGCAAGACCGGCATTGCCATCATTGTTGTCGACGAGCCCAGCGGCCAAAACCGCATCATCCTCTCCGCCGAGGCGAACCACACTCTCCTACCCGAACACTTCTCCACCCTGCCCGGCCCTCGCCCAGATCTGCTCATCATGCAGCTCGAGATCCCCTTCGACACCGTCTTGCAAGCCCTCCGCACCGCCAACGCCTCCAACATACCCGTCCTCCTCAACCCCGCACCCGCAAAGGCACTCCCCGACGAAGCCTACACCAACCTTGCCCACCTGGTCGTCAACGAGACGGAGGCGGCCATCCTTTCTGGCTGCCAAGAGTCCGACCTCGACGATGTCTCCGGTCTTGAGCGCGTCAGCGCAATCTTCATCCAGCGCGGCGTCAACAACGTCATCATCACACTCGGTGGCCGAGGAGTCTACTATGCCACCAAGGACGGCAAATCAGCACTGGTACCTGCCCTCAAGGCCAATGTCGTGGATACCACCGCTGCGGGCGATACCTTTGTCGGATCTTATGCCCTGGCCGTCGTGAGCGCCGGAACAGGCATCTTCGACATTGACACCGCTATCAGGGCTGCTAACCGGGCCGCGGCCATCACTGTATCTCGCAAGGGTGCCCAAATTTCCATCCCATGGAAAGATGAGCTAAATTAAGTGAACCATATAAGAAAAATCTACATCAAGGAAATATACCAAAAGGAACAAAGAAAAAAAAAATTAGAGAAATGAATGAATAATTTTACAACAAGTGAAGCTTCATGTTCTCTTCTCCTAACCTCGCCGAATTGTCGTTAAAATAAAGTCGCAATACTCTACACTTCACAGCCGTTGAACGTCTATCCCTGTGGAAAGAGAAGAGGAAAAATACAGCTAAAACCATGTTGCCCACGCCCAAATACCAGAATCTTTCTTTCCCTTAACATCTCCCGCAATTCCGTGTTTCTTATTTTTGCCCATATTGCTCTTATAATCTTCAACTTCATTGTGGTGACTGCGGCTGTTGTTCCTCAGGGCTGGCGTCAAAACTCTGAGAGTAGCATCAGGTGAAACGGACCATCTTCCACGTAAAGAAATGTCGTTTTCCTCTTTGCTGCATTTTCTAGCTTCAGAAACTTCTCTGCCGGATGCCCCTTTCATTCCAATTCCTGAGTCATACGAGACTCTGTTTTCCCGTACCGAATGCAGTGACGGACTCGATTTCAGTACCGTTGGCCGCTCCTCTTGTAAGCTCATGTACCTCAGAGGAATGGTTGGTAGATCAGAGTAATTCAGATGCTTTTCTGATAGTTTCTGCTCATGCCCCTTTGATCGTATTTTTTTAAGCTTTGGAGCTGGGATAGGATGTTGGGCTACGATCTGTTGCATTATTTCAGATGCTTTTTGGGGTCCCCAATGGCTCTCAATCACAGAGAATAGGCGATCTCTGGTCGGTATCGGGTGAGGAGACCACGGAGAAAGGACATTATGCAGCTTGATAGTTGCCTCTGCTTTTGTTACTAACCTGGTCTGCAATGTAAATACCTCAGTCGCCCCCGTCGCAGCACGTTGGAGAGGGAACGCGGAGTGTGAGTAGGACACATGAATGCTCATATACTCCATGATAGAGTCTCCTAGTTGCAGCTGGAGATCCTCCATCAATTCTTCTGAGGTTTGTCTGGAGTGTTTGTGCTGCCTTGGAGACGGCAATGCTGTCTTAGGCTGGAGTACGACTTGGACGAGGAGAAGAACGCTTGATCCGACAAACATGGTGCTATTCATCATCATGATTTTGGCTTATGTCAAACGAGAGTTCCATTTGCGGATGCATGCAAACTTACGCTGGGAAAGCTTGCCGACATCTCGTTTGAACAATTGATGATTGCGTTGTTGGTAACACGTCTATAGTGAGGTCATAGAGACAGCCGAATTTTAAAAATGTGTCTGTATTACTCATTAGAACTCCACATTTTCAGAGGTGTGTATATCCAAATTCTAGATTTGGAACAGCAAGATAAGAACGTAGACTACCAACCTTTGTTTGGACAAGGAACTCTATCATTCTCAGGCCTGGTATAGGCTGGGAATAGTCTGCCGCATACCTCGATCGCAGCCCAGAGATGCTGTTGACCTTCGTGCATGCTCATCGTCTCTGGTATCACATTAATATGCGGAGATAAAACAAGTACAGTCTCCTCTGCTAGCAGAGGTTTTGATAAAAAGGGTAACTCAGCCAGGCCTTGGGAGTTTCTCTGCTCATGATAGGTACATCTAGAGCTGGCTCGGGATACATCATCGAGCCATATATCACTGTGTTCTATGGGGAGCGTACATGTCGACGAGATGCGGTCTCCATCTTTATTTTCAAGGTTGTTTTTCAGACTAGAATTCTTGCGTCGGATTTTTCTCATCTTCAATGTTGGATATCGCAGAAAAGATGGGAGTTGAGGCGATTTGTCTTGCCCAGGAATGTCATCATTCTCACTTCTGCTCACGAAGCTGTGTTCAAAGGTCGATTCCTGTGAAGATTGTCTCTAACCAGTTGATTCCTCGCTCGCATGGCCGGCCCTCGTCTTAGACACAATTTTAGGCCGCCGTCTCGGAAGCTTCAAGACTCTTGGCGGCTCGCCATCTTCCCACGACCCATGAGGGCTATCATCTACACCCGTATCTGCACTGTTGTTTTTGAAAGTTCGTTGTCGGCTATAATGCCGACTTTTTTTGATGATTCGTAGCGGACTCGGTTTATCTTTCTCAAGGACCGACTCCCTCGACGTCGAGCGTTCAAAGCAAGGCGATAGCTTGTTCTCAAAGCACTCCATGCTGAATATAATAGCAACGATCAGCCCTGGACCGCCCAAAAAAGACAATTGTATAAATTTGCTGTGAAAAATAAAGTATCCTAGCGATCCTCAAGTTTCTGCTAGGGTAAGTTGGTCCCGAAGCTGTTGGTGCTGCGTAACACTAGAGCTTCGCGGTCGATCTCTCTTCTTCTGGCGAGTAGGATAGAATCTCAACGTCTTCAAGTCGAACAAGTATACTGGCAGACATGCATTGGAAACAAATGCTGCTGCAAGAATAACTATGGAGAAAATGATGGTAAGAAAAGCAATAGCAGATACAGGATGCTGCCAGACGACCCAGAGGCTGTCTTCGGCGGGGATAATTTCCGCTGCGGTAGAGCTGTTTTGCATTGTGCAAGAATGTGGGCGAGCTCCAGGCGTATTTATAAATTGAGAAGGCATAAGTGATGAAGAGAAAGCGGTATCAAGGTCTGTTTGAGAAGTTTATGGGAAAGGAAAGGGCAACAATGGAAACCTGGGATATGAGGAACCAAGAATGCCATAGAGAAGATATAAGGAAAGAGCAAGAGCTTGTTGCGGCTGCAGTTTGTAGGATAGCGCGACTCAGCATTTCTCGATTCGTAAGTAGTACTAATGCGCCATTTGAATTGACCATGCTAAAGAAGCAGATACGTGATGTAATAGATAAGATAGTAGATACTCATATGTCTAGAATAAGTGTAGATACATAATAAATTGTATGTCCTTGGCCTTTTACTTTTCTTCAAAAAGCGGACATAATCTCTTGATATCGACTACATAGGACCAGCCTGTTTCTAAATCCAGGTAAAGACGCTATAATGCGAGTAATTAAGGCTCATACTGAAAACTCAATGTTTGAAATTGCGTAAAGGGGCGTTGCTTTTTGGAAAACGAGGTGGAGGGGCTGGCAAAATCGAAGAGCTCATGCCGAGGCATCCAAGGTTCGACGCAGATTTCCCTTTACAGCCTCAATGGTTCCTTCTTCCAGTGCCAGGAAATGAATCTAAATGGATCTCTTGGTTAATACGAGGGTTCATTCAACAGCTAGACGCGGTGGAAGAGCGTTGCACAACATACCATATCGTCGGATATTCCCGATGCGCCATACAGGACCGACTCGGTCAAAGTAGAGGCTACTCCCTTCTTCACTCTATCCTCCCAAACACCATCCCAGTTCCATTCTCCAGGCTCGCGAACTGTCGTGGCCAGGGACGACGTTATACTCTTGGCATCAGATTCGGCCGCGTCTCCTCGATCACTGCCAGTCTCTCTGGTTGTGTCACCACTCAATATGCTGAGTCGACTCAATCTATATATCTTTTTGTCATCGACTTTCTCTTGTTTGCGCCGATGCGTGCGCCACGCATGCCAAGCTCCTGGATTTCCGGCAGCAGAAAGAGGTACCGCATCGAGAACCTCTGCTTTATCAAACGTGCTTCGAATGTACTTTAATAGGGAGTAAGTCGATATAGTCTTCCGGTCTGTTTGCATATACCGCGGCAAGTCCTTTTCGGGAGGCGGCGGTGGCTTGAGACTTTTGCGCTTCGACGATTTTGTTGACACTGCTGATGGCGATGTACTCCTTCGACCCTGGCCACTTCTAGCTTCTGATCGTTCGGGGCCGCCAAACCACTCTGGAAAGCCATGCTCCAGGCTAAAGCCGCCAGGGGGCAGCTTTGGTCTCTCTGTAGTGCTTTTATCGCTTTCAACGCTTGCAGCGTACATGTGCGTCGTCAAGGGAGTGATGAGCGGGTGGAAAATGTCCGTCGAGAACGTAACCAGAGGTGGAGCTCGAGGGTATGCATCGGGAAACATAATTTGGAATCGAAGAACAGCCGGAGCATACGGGCCTTGAACCAGAGCGGATTAACAAAGATAAGCAGGCAAAGGGACTGGTATAAGTCGACGAAGTGTGCCTCAACGGGCAAAGATCAACTTCAAGATGGAGAAAGCAAATGTCATTAATCTTACCATGGCGAACGAAAAGCACTGCTGACCAAAGTGACGGCTCTCCAGGAGTCAGGCTGACAAACACTCCTTCAGGGCAGGCTTGCTTCAATCCGGCGCTGCGATAAGGGGTAGCGGTTAGTTGACGTCAAAGTGGTTGTTTACTTCCAAACTGTCGGGGTCTTCCAATCAATTGCCTGTCATATACGCAACACTTACAATTCCGACAGCAAGTGCTGCCGCCACAGCGAGGGAAGATGCCCTAAAGAGAGAGAAGTCATGTTGGCCAGCAAGTATATCCTCAATTACTACCGCATGGATGCAATCAGGAGGTGTGTGTGCACGCTTCACTAGATGACATTCGCGACAGTTCTAGCGCAGGAGTTGGGACGACATCCCGGGTAGCCGGGTTGCGTAGGCGGTGAGAACAAGCGGTGAGGTATTCTGCCGGCAAAATGGTAAATATTTGGAAAACCCACCGCGGGGCTGAGAGACGTCACTGAGCGTTGAAGATTCGCATCGCGGGGCTGGGCGACAATGCAGCATTCTTGAGTCTCCAAGGACGATAAAGGGGCATAGTGTAGGAATAGGGCATAGGTACACACACAAGCGCAAAAAAAAAGAAAAGAAAAGAAAAATCATTCGTAGAGAGAAGATAAAATTGCCGTTTGTTTTCCAATTCCGGGCTGTCATACAAAAAATCCCGTCAACTGATCAACTTTTTGCCAAACCTATTCTATAATGGTATATCCAACGAGGGAAAAGTCGTTGATCTCTAGCTTTCCAACGGCAATCCAAGTAATAGCCGCAATATTTGCAATCATATCTAGTTTCCCAGTCTCTTCTCGATCTTGCTCGCTTCTTGGGCCTTGATTTGCTTGATATCGTCTCGAGAGGCGTTGTATGAGGCAGTGGCCTGGTTGAAAGGGTTTTCGGGGCTCTTGTCAAACTCCTTTCTGATTCTCTGCTTGCGTTGCTCCAATCTAAGACCTGTGCCGCTACCATCCGCCTTCATCTCGGCAAGCCTCCGCTCTTCGTATCGGTGGTAAGCGGCAGCGAATCGCCTTTCCGGGTGTTGATCAATCTTGGAATCGTCTCCACCGGTTGTCAAAGATAGGGCATCCAGGGCGTTGTCTATGCCGGAGGCGCTAAGGGCGCCGAGTTTGTTGTCGTCGTCCAGCTGAGATAGGTCCAGCCCCCGAGATTTCTTGACTGCTGTCTTGGACTTCTTAGGCTCTGCGCGAGCATTCAGACTAGCCTCCTCCTCCTTAGCCAATGCATCCTTTTCAGCTTTCTTCTTTGCGGCCTCGGCCTTCTTAGCGGCCTCTGCCTCCCTAGAGAGAACCGAAATGTTAGCCAAAGAGCACAAATTTCCCGCAGCGGTGCGCATAGTGGACCGTGTTGAACGCCCGAGGAAAAAGGGGGCGATAATCTTGACACGTAGCTATCTATGCGAGGCGACTTCGGACAGCAGAATACGCCATCGCGCCACCACTCACATACGTACTTTTTTGAGTTGTTCTTGGCTCCCTGCTGCCACTTGTCGTCCTCGACTTGCTCCCGCTGGGCCTCAACGGCAGCGTTCTTCTTGGCCGCGCTCTCCGCCTTACGCGCGTTGCCAGCGGCCTTCTTGCTGTTGTCCTGAGCCTTCTTGCCCGCCATTATGACGTCTGTTTTGGCCCCTTCCGGTCAGGGCTGAAGCGGGTCTCACGGCTCCTGGCCGGGCGGCGGTATCAAGGTGTTTTTTTTTTTTCGTCTGCATAATATCGTATGAGCCAGAGTCGGGGGCGGGATGGAAAACAGGGAAAGGAAATTAAAGGAAGAATCAATGGGAGAAAAGGAGGGGGCGTGTGCGTTCGTCACGGCCGATGGCGAGGGCTCTGTCGCCGTCTACTGGACCAGCGAAGCGTCTGTCCATCGAGCCTTGCAAGGTATCACTGACCGAATGGACCGGTGTGCGCCTGGCTGCAGTCTGTTTGCTGTGCAGCGCCTGGACGCAGTCTCCTGCAACGCCACTCGTCTGGCAGGGCTAGATCGGGGTCTGGCCGAGTTGCGATGGCGGCGCTGATCTGGTTCGCTGCGTCTCCGGTGCGCGCCCGGCTGCTGTTGCTAAGCTTATCCGGGGATGACTATCCGAGATGGCCTTCCAGGATGTCTGCGACAGTGTCTTTCTGTAGAAGCCTGTGCTGGGAGCTTGAGTCGATGAAGTTTGCTGCGAATTGCAGGTTGCAGGTCGAAGGTGGATGCGGCGCGGACGAGCCGACAAGTGCCTGCCGGCGGTCCCAGCCCCACTAGCGTGGCGTCCGTGCGATTCTAAGGCATCGGCGTAAGGCAAACAAACATCCCACGTCCTTGGCTTCGTTCAGCTTAGTTTGCATTCAATAGTATTACGAATCGAGTTGTGGCTTTTGAGATGGAGTTTTCATGAGCAACGTTTTAGTGCAGGATGGGCATATCATTGGCAGACGTATTGCCTGTATACCCGTTTTACACAGTTTATATGCATTCCAACAATTGCGTTGAAAGTTCAAGTACTAAAATTCATTCAATAAACGAAGTATAAATTAATCCATGAACTGTCATTCTGAAAGATATTGTCAAAATATAGAAATGGATAGAGATGTATATACAGCCTTAACATCCATCCAAAAGTTTTTTCCTTTTTAAAAAAAAAAAAAAAAAAAAAAAAAAAAAAAAAAAAATCGCCTCTACAAGGAAAAAAAATTACATTATAGATTGGGTAATATCATGTACTGTATCAGCATTTATGTACCAAGTTCAACTCGATTAGGTAAGGTATAGTCTAGTTAGTTCCCGGGTAGGAAACAACTCCAGCCATTATACAGGTAGTAGCACGCTTGTTTCTCTTCTTTTCCCCTTTTCCATGTTTTACATCATTACATTTTGTCATGTCGTTGTGTAGCCCTCGCCAGCACAGAAACTTGCCGGTCTCGACTGCTCATGGCCAGCTTCAGCTTCAGCTCCAGCTGCTAGCCCGTCGGAGATCCATGCCATTCCTTGGCAGCTACTTGTGCCTCTTAGTTTGGGCATGGCGCCGACCAGCTCCCTCTCGCATGGTCAGGCCTAGATCTCCCGCGCATCGAGCCAATCCAGCTACATGCTCGTATAGTAAACAAATGCGAGTGTAGGTAGGTGTTCGTGGTGGTAGCGAAACAGTAGCATCATGCTAGCAGAATTGACTACTGCTGCTTACCAACACTTCCAAGATGAACTGCCTACCACCAGTAGCATGATATCGCATACGGCTTGCTGCCCAGTTCGGCCCCCCATCCAGCGCATGAGATGAGACAAGATGTGGCCAAATCTGACCTGATCTGACCTAACCTGACAGCCCGATCCACAGAGGAGAGAAGTTTCAAAAGACAGAGGCCCAGGCTTAGCCTCGAGCCACCTCGCCCTCGCGTCCCAGGCTTTCCGGCTTTCAATCGCCCAGCGGCCACTTGCGCTCAGAGTCCCTCACGGCTTGATCGTCGAACTTGATCAGGGCGCCGTGGATCCCCCCGGCCGGGCCGCTAGTGGATCCCCCCCGGCAGCTCACCAAATCACGAATCATCAGCCCAGCCGCACAGCACCAGCCGCAGAGAAGCCCCCTGCCCGAAGTACGGTTCCTTTGGGCGTGCGGGAGCTATGAAACAATGAGATCTTGGTCGCCTGACGCCGCCTACGTCACGCCGGCGCCGCGGATATCCAGCCGCCCATCACTAAAAGGGCATCTTCAGATGGCCAGTAGGCGGACCCTAGCAGACCCCAAGTCTCGCATCCAAAATCTCACATGGCAGCACCGCCAAGTGGTCTGATTGGCTCCATGGCCACCAGCCGATATCATGGGGAAGCTGCTAGCAGTGCGTGGAGAAGCTGTGCAAGGCTGCCAGAAAGAAAGGCGCTTACAAGGTACCGCGCACCTGGACGGATGTGATGCTGGCTGGACCATGCCATTTGGTCGCGTTACACACCCGAGACTATTGAGAGCGAGTGCTACTCTGCCGTCGGAGCTTCTCTCCACGCGCAGCTCAAAGGGGGTCCCTGGACACGAGCTCTCCAGCTGATGGCCATCACTGCCGTTATCACACCAGGCCGGTGGCCGCTGTTAACAGGGGGGGTGTAGGCGTCCATGTACGGGGAGTACCTCCATGTAGTCGGTCTTGGAGTCAGCCCTGATTACTCGTGCCTCCAACCGTGGAACAGACACGCACGCGCGCACGACTCCCCGCCTCCCAACCGCCAGGCGCTCCGCACATCCGTTCCTCCACGAGCATCGTACTAGCCGTAAGAGTACTACCTCACAGCGGTTCCGTGGCTGTTCACTGATCCCATCTTTGATCCTGGCTCCAGCGCTATAATCCACGGCCCGATCCCACCAGTCGATGCCTACCACGCTGTCGGGTTCGGAGACGGTGCCAGACCAAAATTGAACCAAAAAAAAAGATAAAAAAAAAGATAAAAAAAAAGGTATGAATAAAATAAAGGCGCAAAGAGAAGAAAGAGAAAAAGAAGGCCCCCCCCCCCTGCGCTGCCGCGACTCATGTCTAATTCTACAAGTCGCCTATACCGTTCGTCACCCGGGCGTCGCCGTTTTACATTGGCCGAACTCAGTAAACGCTTGCACGCTGGCAATCAGGCTCGGGGAGACGGGTATCTTGACTCTTCCTCCTTGGAGAGAGAGGCTCCAAAATACCTCAAAGCACGGCTTGCTATAGCTTCCCAACAACATCACGTCGTGTGACGCAGGCAAGGCTAGCGTCTTACACCCGCAGCAAGCTCGCGTACATGATGTGTGAAAAGGAATGCTCTGCCACAGCCCACTCTCCAAATAAAGGAACAAGAGAGAGAAGGCAGAACGAGGAAGATAGAAAGTGGGCATCTTACCCAGGGTCCCCGTAGCAGTCCCTCATTGCAGCTCTTATCGATCCAAAAAAGGTCAAGGCCGCATCCATTCTTGTCGCAGCTTGTCTGTGGGTTAGGCAAGACGCCCGTCACGTCATGCAAGCAAGCCAACTTGGAACCTTTTCCGGTGTTTATGGAGCATCTCGTCTTCACATGAGCAGCTGACGGTTACCGCCAGCAAGGTACCAAGAGGGCTATATACAGCATCAGCCACAGGCTGGGCCTGCATCGTGCTCCTCTGACTCATCCCATCCATTGAGTTTTCCCAAGTACATGTACTTTGCTTGTATCAGTGCTTGGCTGCATGGGGAGCGGAGCTTGCTTGTACAAGATGCACATGTAGTCGACGGGTGAATCTTGGTACCCACCCCAACTACTGCTGCCAGCTGAACAGGGATATACTACTGCTGCTGCAAGACCCAATCAATCCCACGGCGAATCGCATCGTGCAGGGAGTTCTCTGTAGGGATCATGCGTTCCGGCATACCAAAACCAACAAGCGAAGCAGTGCGTTCGAGCTTTTGCTCCGTTTTGGGGCATCCTGCAGGGCTCAACACAGCCTGGCGACGCATGAGGTCGATCATCACCGTACTTATTGCAAAGAATCGCTGCAGCGCCCCCTCTTCTTCATGCAAGAGGGGCAAAGGGGAGATGGCCTTGCGAACAAGCATTATTTCTGGACACCCATTTGGCTCACTCACCAGTGAATAAGTGGTCAGCTTAGCGAGGCCCTCGAGCTGCGAACGGATGCAGAAGCTCCGCTGCATGCTTCCCATGTAGCCCATCATTGGGTGACTTGGACGGTTTCCAAGCCATTTGTGGTGTGTCGTCAAGCCCATAATTCCCATGTCCCTCTGTCTCACTGCTCTTTTGTGCATATACTGAGGGCTGAGTACATAGTGGTATGGCGGGCACGAGCCAGCAGATGCACGTCCAATCTGGTTGTGTTGCAGGGGACACGGAAACGGTGAGCCTGAAAGCCGCTGCGAACTGGTTCGGTGTACTCGATGCCTCGGAGACTACAAGAAATAGCCATAATTTTCTGTTCGGAAACAAGCAAAAATGCGCGTGGCCGGCCGTTCCGAGGCAATTATGTTTGATAATTGCGTTGACGAGTACATACACAGCAGGGCCAGAACCAGAACAATATACCTCTCGCTTTCGTATCGTATAGGCACCACCAGCCAGCTGACCATGAGTAATGCCCCTACGCAGAGCTGAACTCGCAGATGTTGCCAAGGCTAATAAGTATATTCCAAACTCAACTGGGCGTTCCTTGCCCCGTGTTCAAGCATACACCTCCTCTGTTCATGATTTGTATTGTTGCAGCCGTCACTTGTCGACTTTTTTGCGCAAAATGATAGATCATGCTCGCGAGGCTCGTCTCACTACTGGGTATTAGTAGTATGCCAATACTACCTAGAGCGTAACTTGAACCAAAATTAAGCACGGCTGACGGTCCATGCTGCAGTTGGCCGCCCGTCTCTGATGATTCGCTCGAATACGTGCTTACAAAACGCTTCGTTGATAATACTGAGCCGCCTCCGCGGAGAACACCGTAATACGGAGCATGCGTCTGTCTTCAATGCTTGTAGATGAACAGGACCCCCCAGAAACCACCATCCTCGTCACAGATCCAAGGGTTTTTTTGGGCGTGCTTTAGAACCAACAAGCACCGTACCGAGTGCTACTGCAGGTGTACATTGCCTACCTATAGTAGATGGGTTGTATGGTAGGCCCTAGTACTAGAACCCGCAGGCTGCTCTCCATGCGTTCATAGAGAACATACATGGGAACTAGGCTTGTGCAAGGTTGGCACATACTGGAGCAGTAACAGAGTACTTCCTGGTGCTATTGATACCGTGAATGCCTGCGCCGCGCCGTATGGTGTACAAAGCACATTCATCAAACTCGCGCCTGTACGAGCACCTATATCGTAGCCGTCGCCGTGCGGCTGGATCAATTCGGAGATCAATTGAGCTCTAGTTGGAGATCGCGGATACGGAACATTCGCCTCGTTCGCACATCAGCCCATTTTCGTCTTAACAGCAGATTCAAATATACTAATTTGGGATGTGATACCGATGGCAGTAACTCCACGCCTGTCTGAAAATCCTGCGAGCTCACAAGCAAACATCATTGTGCCTTGTCCTCAGCCGATGGCAGATCTCTCATAATGCGTATTTGAAGCAGGTTTCCGCGTCCAAGGCGGGGGGGAACAAAGAAAAAAAAGCCATATAGGGAGAACCGACAAGCCTTGTGACCGCTTGTGATCACGAGGCGAGGAGGTTTACAAGTAAGAGACTCCGTAATGGGACAAGGTGCAAGGGCCGGGATCACATCCCAGTTCGCTAACCTTTGTCTATTGCCTACCCCTGGCCCCCGTTGACAAGGGCTCTCTTCGTTTTTGCGCCCGCGACCAGTCATACAAGCAGAGTGCATTGGCGGTCGATCCCTCAACAACCGAGCGTTGCTGAAAGTGGTCTTTGCGAGCAGAGCTTGCAGGCGGCCAAGCACATTTACGAAGTACAGCCACAGAATTCTGTTCCTGTTTGTGCCCCATGTCCATGCAAAATCCTTCGCGGCTTTTTGGGAACAGGCATACTGATACAAGGGCCTCAGCAGCAGCACAATGAGCAAGTCGTTCGCTGTATAGCCTCCCATGATCAAGCTGGGCAGTTGTGGATCTCCAAACCTCGAGGATTAGAAACACGATTCTATCCCCGGATAAATAGTTCCTTCGATGTATACCGCTAGTAGCACACTATTGCTGATAGTATTCCGTGCGTGTTATCTGGTTGAGCACAGTTATAGCCCTTTTTTCTCTTTTACGCTGCAGCTGCGAAGTACCCGACTGCATCTCTTTTGCGCATTTGGGCAGCATTAGCAGTCTTCGCCTAGGTAAGGCAGTCTTGCGGCGTGAAGCCTAGACCTATGTACCGTCGCAACAACGTAGGTATGTGACACTATACCGATTATCAGCCCACCGCATGCATCGGCGTGTGTATTTCGAAATAGGACGTAATTTCAGACCGCCAGTATGATGCGCAGTAAACATAATTTCATATATTCACACCCTACAGCCATACCGGCCTACTTGGATATAGAGATCGGAGCGATTTGACCTGAGGTTCGCAGAACCCAGCAGCTCCTGTTGCTGCTGTTACTGCCACCGCTACCGTAACAAGTGTTGTAACCGAGGCCTTGCTCGACTATAAGGCTGATACATAGGTTATTAGAAATGCCGGATCGGATGCGGCTTGTCAAAACCTCTTGGAGTCAATCATGATCTTTGTCGCGACTTGTCGCCGAGCTTATCCCACCTATGCCGAGACTTTAATAGGAGTATGGATTTCTAATATATGTCGGCAGATATCAGACAAGCATCCTCTCCGGACTATTCTGGCAACGAAATGCTACTGTGCAACACAACGCATGCACATATGCCCAACAACCATGCCAGCGCACAGCTTCCCTTCCCGTAACGGAGGATTATAGTCTTGGCGGTTAGTGACCATGCATCTGGCCAACGAATGCCGCTTCATTACTGGCATGCCAATGCAACTTGCGTCTCCTGGTAGCACGAGGAAGGCCATGTGACGCACCCTCCTCTCTCGCATATCAAGTGTCAAGCACGGCATAAGCCAATGACCTTTCAAGATACCCATCAGATTTGACGATCAATTTCAAGCCACACACATACATATACACAGCCTGCTGCTATCGCAGCCGTATCGGCCGACGCCTAGCGCCAATAAAGGCAATCGCCTTGACAGCATCTCATTCGCCCGGAGCCCAACGGTATCGTTCCCCGGGGGTGGGTTCACACTGGAGCGCCTTCGCATCTTGCTAGCAGCTTTTTCAGCCCAAACGGAGCGCCGTATTTTGCGCCCTAGATCCAGTTCTAGTCAAGTGTGCCCACTCTTCGAAGGTTTCGAGAAGAAAAAGAAGAGAGAAGGACAGACCCACGGCTTCATTTGCTTCAATGGTGGCGAAGGGGTAGGTTTGAAGCTTAGCAGACTAAAAAGCTTGGAGTACCTACCCATCTCATGTGGCGGGGCTCTCTCGGTGTGGGCTAACGCAAATCGTACGTTTGAAGCCAGATCCATGCACTTGATACAAGTCGGAGATGGATTTCGCATTACGCAACCCAAGCAAAAAAAGACCACAAGCAGGTGAAGCGTCGCTCAGCCGCACCCGCAGATTGGTGCCTACCGTCTGGCACCCGGATATCCGCCCACGCAGCATAGCAATTTCTTGTCTCAGTGCGGAGTACCTCATGCGCGCATGGGCTGTCTTGCTCCCTACAGTCGGAAGAAGAGAGAGAGAGAAAGGCTCGTCTCCTTTACCGCCGCCCCCCTTTACCGGTTGGACGCTCGGCATTGCTCATTGTCCTTTAGACTGGAACTGGATGCCAGGATGTTGGTAATCAATCTGGGACTGGATAGCGCACAGCATGGGTATGAGCGCATGTACGAGAATGTACCTCGAAGAAAAATTTTCAACAACAAATTTGCCTTGGGCCAGTACCCCGGCGGTAGCGTGGCAACAAGGCCGCGCCGGTCATTAGAAGGGCTGGAGAAGCTCTGACAACAGGAGTAGCCCTAAGGGGGCGCCGCGACCCGGTCAACCGGTTTACTGGGCAAGCGATTCTGAAACGGCTGGAATTTGAGTGACATGCTAGGCAAAAGATTAAAAGAATCCGGTCGCCGGGTCGATGGATTCGTCTAGGTGTCCCCCTTTTCCTCCATCTCCCTCTCTTGCCAATCAGAGGCGTCAGCATCGAACCCACTGAGCTTTTGCCAACTTCCGCGGGAGGGGCACCCTGCCGCGCTACGGCTAAGTGATGGCATATATTTTTTTCTAAGTTTCTGCCGCCCCTTCTGAAGAAGCTCCTTTCCGATGGCGGTCGTCTGTTTACAACGCCGGCGGAGGCGGATTGGCTCAGCCGGACGTGTGGACAGTGTGCCGGCATGACGGGAAGGCTCCCCGAATTGCGATACCCTTGGCAACACTGATGTGCGTTGACTCATTGGGTAGCGGTCCCTGCACTAGCTGTTGGTCATGACGACACTGTGCTGAGCTGGACAGAAAGAAATCTGGCGGGAGGTTGCCTGGCCTAGGGTAGTCAGGGCCCAGTGATGGGATCTGCTAAATCAGTCGATGAGGGAGGATCACGAGGGGGAGTAAGTGTCAAAGGGCAAATCCATCTGGCGGTGAGCCCTAAGCGCTCGATCTTAGAAAGCAAAGACGTCAAGAGACGGGGGGGAGAGGGTGGTGCGAAGAGAGGGATCTTTGGCATGGCTCGTAGCTACCCAATGCCGACAGCAACACTATCAGCAGGAAGAGCTTTGATCCTGGGCAATGCAGTGCCTCTTGAGGTGACACAGAAGCGCAGTCGTGGCGATAGTCTCTTGATTGAGTGATTGCAGCAGTGCTGACACTCACCAAGCATGCTAGTACGGGTGTGTGTGAATTCGTAGTCCGCCGTCAGCTGTGGCAAGGATTCTGAGAGAGACAAGAGATTGATCCCGTGGCCCATGCGGCAAGCATTATTGTTGTGCGCGTATATTGCCGTAGAATCCATTTGCGCCATCTCTTGTTTCTCCTGCTTATTGTATTTTGTTTTTCTTTTCTTTTTCTTTTCTTTTTATTACGTTATGATTTCATGCCAGGCACGTTAATCTAGGCTTCCCAATGCTGCATGTCATACATGCGGCCACATGTGTAAAGTTGGTAGGGGAGACCCCCGTGGGTGGCTTACTCGGCCATGTCCTCCGTATAAGTGCACCAGTAATAGAGTACTTCGAAGTGGTTTTTCCCACCCAACAGTGCCCCGTATCTCAGGTCGCCAACAAGGCAATAAGGGGCGCATATCTGGACATCGGGTGCCCCCCTTAGATGTTAAAGGTCCAAGCTTGCGTGTAGCCCAGCAAAAAGACTTTCGCGGGAGGCCATGGCGACGCTGGGGAGGGTCGATAAACATGGTGATGCTGGTATTGTCGCCATCCAACGTAATGCCTGGAAAAAAGAACGAAT